AGGAATGGTGCTGTGTAGCTATGTAAAAAGCTAGACTGCTAATGAAAGTAATTACACACATAGAAAAGCTGTATATATAGCTAGTTGGTTTTCACCATTAAACTTTGCTAGAGCTTCTAGGAGCTATCTCCCACCCCAGTGATCTCTAAACTTTCCCAATCAACTATGCAAATAAAAATGTAACTAATTTTGAACCTCATTCTGCTTATATATTTGGAGAGATCTCTTGTGACTAGGGCAAGAACTGCAGGCCTTTGAAGTGTGCAGTGGTATACTAAACCCTGATCGATGTAGAAAGGAAGGTTATAGAAATATTTGGGCACTGTAGACCATTCTTAATCACCCACCAGCCTGCAGCATCATTAGTTAAATTAAGACAAATATGAGACACATACACATAAAACATAGGAGACTGAAGCTTATAGTGAAAAGCATTATCTCCTTAGAAGATGTAATACATGTGAGCACCCTTGCAGAAGCGCTCTGTTAACCCACTTCTGCGTGCAATGAACTGCAGCACAACCACTACTCAAAGAGCACTCTCAGGTCAGGCAACATATCAGATGTTTTCTTCTTTTAAATAAAATACTTATTAGCAACAAAATATTGCACTGTTTGCACGCACAGTGCCAGAAATTAGTATATTTCATTAAAAAAAAAAAAAAAGCTAAAAAGAAAAGCTTAATGTCTTAAAAGCAAATTAGAGAACTATTTAGTAAGACAGACGCACTTTTGGGTAAGAGAGATATACTTCTCAATTTCAGTCATATTTACCAACAGAGCCTAGGGCTACTTTATTTTATGCTTTTCTAAAACTCTGAATGTTTCAGCCTGTGGAATTAGCATGTTCCACCAAGAATACCGAATACTAATTATTACTGCTATAGCTGTGTTGCACCAACTCAGCAGCACATGGAAATGAACAATGCAGTACAGTGAAAAGCTTAATTTATTGTTCAAAAGCTTGCAGTCAAACACTGAACTTGCACAGGAGGCAAAATATAGAAAATAACTTTTAGAAAAATTGACTCAGACATGAAAAATAAAAAAATTCTTCCTTATCATATCTGTGACACTGCAAAATTATAATTATTCTCTTTAATGTTCTCTGTCATACAATTACTTTAAATTAACATATCAGCACATTAACATTTTTGCCACAAACTCAGTAAATGAAAGATAGAGATCTGATTTCTCCAAGCCTCCATGAGTACTTTGGCCACAGTCTTATACAAGGAAGACAAGGATATTTTCTTTTTAATGTTGCAGACTCATTACTACATTATCCAAAACCATTCTGCCACCAAAAGGGTTAGCCCTAACCTATCTTTTGCCCTGGGTTTCCAGCCTCTCTCCCTGGTGCCAGCACTGGTACATGTGTGACTTCACAGCCAGCAGCAAAGTTTTATTTTTGTCCGTGTTAGTTCTCAGCCCAAGGAATGACTTGCACTTGCTATATTACCATGTAAATGCTACTGCAGTACCAGTGGTGGAGAGGATCACACCCTTCCACAGCAGCAGAAATTTATATCTTAAGCTATCTGAAGTCTCCCATACTTTCCCACAGCTCTGTAAATTGTTGCGAGGTGAGCTGGAGCTTAGACACACTTATTTTTTGATCTTACAGATGAACCTGGTGAAAAAAACAAGAAACAGCGAATGAAAAAAAGTAACATACACCCACAGGACAAAACAGGCAACATTTATGAAGTGGCCTAGCAGAGACTTCTGGTCCATAAGCTAAAGCACTGTACAATTAGGAGACTGACAGGGATCTACCTTCTTGCCTCACCCCCTATTTCTAGGAAGGGTAAAATTTTCTAATTTTAAGAACCAAAGCTACTTTTAAAAACCATGCAAGGAAAGCAGTACAGTTATAAAAGTTTCACACACATGAGCTTATTTATAGCTAAGCCTCGTATTCTCTAACGGAAATACTCCTCAGCTCGGATTCTTCAACCTCTTAGTAGATTTTAGCCCTCCTGTTAGCAGATATTAACCTTTCAAGTCCCAACACAGACCTAAATGGTGTCTCATCTTTGAGATGTTGAACTTTGAGTTCTTCAAGCTTGGACTGTGCTCTTTGCCACACTGCCAAAGCCTCATCAATAGCATGGGGAGAGTTTGACCAGTTATGGCAGAATTCTGTATTAGTGCTAACACCTCTCTGTAACAACGTGTCTCTCTTGTGAGCAAGACAAATGGCTATGAGAGAGAGCAGGTATTTTTACATTACTAATTCAGTGTTATCGAACAGCGCTCATAAAATATTGAAAATACTCAGCTCACTCAAATCCAGAATTGGTCACAGGTATCCTTTATTCTTGCTGTTAGGAGCAATGGAAGTATACTCTGTTTTACCCTTAAGAGCAGTGGAAGAGGTTCCCTAAAAGAGATTCCCTGTCTTGTTGATGTATTATTTTTGCAGGAATCCTAAATTAGAGACAAGAAAAAAGTAGGGAGGAATTTGGAACAGTGAGTGATACTCAGTCACAACCTCCCAAGATGTACTCAGTTGTGGCAATATAGCCTAAATGCCCCCAAAATAAGCAAAACTAAAGAAAACCCAAAGGGCAGTGGTAAGCAAATCCTTCGACAAACTGTTTAGAATCAAACTGCTTTAATGGTGGTGACTATTAAATAAAACCCCAATCAGAAGAATTTTACTGGTCAAAAACATTTTATTTGAAATATGATTCTCAGAAGCAAGAAAGTAAAATCTGTGTTCACAAGAGTTTTCAAATCCAGCTATTTATGGACTTGAAGAATGTTACCTCTCCATTCAAAGCACCTCCAAGGAGATTTTTCCCAACAACTATAATCTTTAGAGAAAGACTTGTAAATGGCATAGCTCTCAGAAAAAAAAAAAAAAAAAAAAAAATCCCTCAAAAAAGCGTAACAAACACTTAAGTGTCCATTGTTGAGGGTCCACATAAGGACAGCTTTTAAGAATGTTTCACTGTATACCTGACAGTGTATCTTAGAAAAAAATAAATTATTCTCTTTTACCTACAAGTATTTAACAATAAAAATTGAAAAAATATGAGGGAAACTCATCTTGAAATGGCATAAGTTCTTGATCATAGTCATGAATTCACCAGCTATATGGTTAAAGTATGAATCCCATACATCCCAAACCTGTTGAGACACACAAATCTCAAACCAAAATAAACGCTTTTCAATTGCTTATCCAATCATTCTGTGCTGCTAGTTAGATCACCCCGCAGCTCAGAGGCACGCTTCTGCCGTGTCATCTTGGTAGAAAACAAAAAGACCAACCTTCAGAATCAAGAGGTCTGTGCTTTAAGGAATTACTTTGCACCTGCTAGTTAGTTCTCCTAAACCAGATGCAACTGCCCTCACAGCTAAGATGCACTAGTAAAACAAGTTAGCTTAAAAACTGAAAATTATTTAAACTAACATGTTTTACCTTGCAGTAAAGCAGTGAAGGAATACACATGTATTCAACTATTATGTTCCAGACATAGGGAAACTAACTCTCAGAGGTGTAAACCATTAGAGGTGAATTTTTTAAACTTTATCTAAAAGAGGCATCTGCTTCTCATTTGAACTAGACTTGTGTGTACAGAGGAGTTTAAGCATACAAACAAGACTGAGCTCTTACAATGAAGAGGACTCTGGAGAACAGGTTGAGGCTGTCCTACGTCTTCACGCTGTCTGAAATAAGCACAAGGAAACTCAACCCATGGATACAGAACCAGCTGTCAAAGCCAGACAAATCATCTGAGCGTGAGCATGTGGAGCATGCATACAATGGAAAAGGAATATTCACTTGAGTAAGAATCTGCAACTACTACGCCCAGACTACAATAAAGAGTTGCTATGTAAAACTGACAGTGCATTTTTAATAGTTTGTATCGACTATTAACATGTTGTTGCCTTAGTTCAGACTACTGAAATGAAAACACTAATGGTGTCAGTGTTCTTCTTGCTACAACTATTACTACTAGCAATGGAAAAATTTCTGGAGAGAAGGTAGTAGATATACAGCCTACACTAGCTCTTGGTAACTTAGAAGACAGCCCTGAAAACCATGTTGGTAATCAATAAAAATATTAAGCAAACCACCTCTGACATGTTATTATTATAACCTATACACAAAAATCTGTTGCCTAGAAAAATATTACAATGAAAGTATTGCAGTAGCATCAAGCGTGTATGTATGTGTATGTATAAAAAAAGTCCATTTATAAGACTTAAGTGGGATAATTGAAGTGACATAATTTGTTACCATACTTTTACAACTATTAAAAAAATGACTAACAGAATAACTAGGTTCTTTCCAAAATATAATTCAGATTGGTACCAACTGACAACTGCTACATCACAAAAGAGCTATGAAAGCAGTTTTTTAATTAGTGTTTACAACAGTAATAGATGCATTGGAAGAATGTACTCCATTTTTCTACATTTTCATGCATGCATTAGAATTCTGCAATTTGAGGCCTCTTTTGAAGTGACATTAATCATCCTCCAGATTCTTTTTAGAAAACCTATCACTTGAACAAAAGGAAGGGGTTATTAGCTCTTCACATTTTTGTGCTGAAGTTTTGTCATTCAAAGCCATCACTGAATAATAATAATAATAAAAAATATAGAGAGAGTTGGGTTTTTCAGCATGAAGCACCATTCTTCTGGTAAAGCCTTATTTATTTATTTCATTTGAATTCCATTTTTGAGGGTATTGAGCTTGTGATAACATGTTTTTGAGGGTATACTGCAGAAGTGTAAAGTTCTTGAATTATAAATGCTGATAAATCCATTTACAGAGAAGCTGTGAAACTTCAATTGCTTTGACTTGCAAATTGTTAAGATTAAAAGCTCAGAGTTAAGTTAGAAACAGTCCTATTACAGGCATAACAGCGTATCAGTGCATTTATACTATCGCAAAATGGCGTTTTTAAACTTCTGTACTGTAACAAGCCTGTAAAGAAAACTAAACTAAGACTGTTTAAAATGGAAAAATGCCAATATATCCCTCCGGGGATTTTTTTAACACAGTGACTTCTTAAAACTTATGTACATCAGGCCTGATCTATGAAGTTATACTGATGATGAGGATACGATCTTACGCTAGCTTCACTTCAGCAGGTGAAATTCCTTTGTGCACGCAAGAACTACCAGCAGATTAATACTCCTTAGCAGTCAGTATCTCAGTCCCACTATGGCTCTTGCCAGTGAGTCAAGCACTGATTCAAATTCTCAGAAGCAAGTGAACAGTCTGAAACACTGCTCAGACATTAACAGGGTTTATAAGCAGAAGCAGCATAGCTTGGAACACCCTACTGCATTAATCCTCCATGTCATCTTCTTCCTCAAAGTGTGCATGTGGATGAGCTACTTCTGAACTGGTTGCTGAATCATGAGAGAGTAATGTATTATTCTGAAGTCCGTCTTTACTGTTTGTGTTAAAACACCATGCAGTAAAATGTAACGCTCAGCAACTGGCTCAACAGCACTTTGGCCATCTGTATATTATATGTGGGATGACAGCAAGAAGTACTAACTGTCCTTGATTACATATCAGAGCTCTTAAAGTAGAGTACAATCTTAATTTTGGACTGAGGAGACAGAATGGACTTTAAGAAAAAAACCCAAAACTGTAAGATATCAAGTGCACCCTCAGCAAGTTTGCTGACGACACCAAGCTGTGTGGAGCAGTCAACACACTGGAGGGAAAGGATGCCATCCAGAGGGACCTTGACAGGCTTGAGGCAGGACCAAGGCAGGCCCGTGTGAACTGCATGAAGTTCCACGAGGCCAAGTGAAAGGTCTTGCACATATGTTGGCACAATGCCAAGCACAAGTACAGGCTGGGCAGAGAATGGATTGAGAGTAGCCCTGAGGAGAAGGACGTGGGGGTGTTGGTTGATGAGAAGCTCAACATGAGCTAGCAATGCATGCTTGCAGTCCAAAAAGCCAACCGTATCCTGGGCTGCATCAAAGGAAGCGTGACCAGCAGGTTGAGGGAGGTGATTCTTCCCCTCTACTCGGCTCTTGTGAGACCCCACCTGGAGTACTGCGTCCAGCTCTGGGGGCCCCAGTATAAGAAAGACATGGAGCTGTTGGAGAGAGTCCAGAGGAGGGCCATGAAGTTGACCAGAGGGCTGGAGCACCTCTCCTGTGAGGACAGGCTGAGAGAGATGGGGTTGTTCGGCCTGGAGAAGGCTCCAGGGAGACCTAACTGCAGCCTTTCAGTACCTGAAGGGTCCTACAGGGCCTGTTTATCAGGAAGCATGGTGACAGGACAAGGGGTAATGGGTTTAAACTAAAAGAAGGTCGATTTAGATTAGATGTTAGAAAGAAATTCTTTACTGTTAGAGCGGTGAGGCACTGGAACAGGTTTCCCAGAGAAGTTGTGGATGCCCC